TCCCCCCCCCACCACCTCCGGGAGCCCAAAGGCTGCCCGCCAGCAGAGCTAGGGAGCACCAGCGGGTTCCCAAACACTAAAAAGCTGCGGGGTGAGGAATGGTCGGTGCGGGCAGCCCACCCGCCTGCCCTCCCTCCGGTCCTGCTGGGGACTTCCATTTAATAGACTTGGGTGCTGGCAAACGAGCAGCCTGGGTGGGACCAGTCGGTCTGCCTTGCTCTCAGTGGGAGGCACTGGAGATGCATCCCATCCCTGCAACAGCTCTGTGCCCCCCGCGCCCGGCCGGCCGGGATGGTACAGGCATGACCTGGTTGAGCACAGGGCTGCAGTGTTTTATAGCTGCCCGGAGAGCAGAGCCCAGCCCCCGCCGGGCACGGTGTCTTTGGGAAGTGATTTCACCTCGTTCCGTTCATGATTAATGCCTGAGTGTGATTTTTGGGGGAGGGAGGGAAGCAGGCTGCACTCTCCCATCCGGAATCTGATTTTGCGAAACAGGGGGAGAGTCCCAGCGTGGACTGCACGGTTTAGCTTTTTACTCCAGGTGACTCTGTAAGGCTTGAAACTGTGACTGGGTCTGAGCCAAACTAACCCCATTCCAGCATCTCCCATCTCAGGTCAGCCAGGTCAGGGACAGAGCCAGTGGGACCTCGGAGGTAGGACGCGTGCAGTGGTCCTGTGTCTGGGCTCCTCTCCCAACGCAGAGCCCTTCTGGGCTGGAGCCCGGGACAACGGGAAGAGCAAAATCATAGCCCTGGTGAGGCTGAGCCCTCCTGCCCTCTGGGGCTGGAGCAGGGAACTCGCCTGGGGTTGCTCCTGCCAAACGGGCTGGGGGACAAGTGACAGTGCTCCGACTCGTCTCGGTGGGATGGGGATCTCCAAAGCGGGGCAGAGCCCAGCTCGCCCGCAGCCCTGCCTGCTGTCACCCGCTGCGGCGGCCACCGGCAGAGCCCGAGGAGGGTCAGTGAGGTCTTGAGAGCAGCTCATCTGCCCCCCGGTAACAAAGCCGTTCCTGGCAGACATCTGTCTAAGCTGTTTTTAAAACCCTCCAGTGTTGCCTCCCCACATCACTGATTCCTACCTTAATCTTTACCTTCAGATAGATTTTTTTTTTTTTTCCTCCACGCCTGTCCCTTGCTGCAGTTTAAGCCCAGTGCTGTCCCAGCAGAGGGACAGGACACCGTACACCCTCTCTCCTCGCAGCTGCAGAGGCTTTGCAGGACCTGCCATAATTTTATAACACTCACATCCCTCCTGTTCCTGCCTCTTTTAACATAAGAATAGCAAACCTTTCAGCCTGTTTCCATAGCAGGGTCTTTCTGTGCTTAAAATTTCAACCCTGACTCTTTCTGCGGTTTCCCTTTCCCTGGTGGAGTGCCCTGGACTGTGCTTAATAGAAAGGCATTAAAATATTTGCTATAATATTCCTCTGCTATATAGCTCTGGTTTGGTTGCTTTATTAGGTTTATCTGTGCTGAGGAGCACAAATCTGCAGCGGAGCATCCGTGCTCGGGTGTCACAGCCGTGCTGACTCTTTGCGCAGCTGAACGTCCACCCGAGCCGCTTTACCCCCGCGCGGGTGTATTTCTCTGCGTTTATCCACACACAACTTCATGTACCATCGTCCCACCTGTTCACTCGTCCTGAGCAGATCGTGAGATCTCGGGACTCTTCTCTGACGTGAGCCAGTCTGACCAACTTAGTGTCATCCACAGTTTCCCCGCCCCACACCTTTCCTTCTTTTCTGGGTGCAAACACCACCAGATGGAGCTTTTTTGCCACGACAAAAATGAACTACTAATTGTTATTCTCCTTTTCTCATTGACATGTCACTGTCCTCTAGGGTTTGTTGTTTGGTTTGGTTGTGTCTCCAGCAGGACTTTTTCAGAGGTCCTTGGAAAGAAAACAGTACATCAGTTTTTATTCACTACTTCACCCACACGCTCCAAGAACTCTAACCCATTAGAAAGAACTTTTCTGTGTACGAAAAGCCATGCTGCTTCTAATTTGTTCTCATCTTCCAGATACAGTGTTTCACCTTGCAAACCAAATTCAGCTGTAAGGCCAGCAGATGTTAACTAAAGAATAATTTTCAGCTTTACGATAGATGATGAAGCCTTAGTAGAGTCTGCGATACCGGGACAGAGAAGGGAACTTTTAAAATAGGTGCTGTAGCAAAGGAAAGTTTCCATTTTATCTGTTTTCTCAGGGGATTTGCGGGAAGGGTCGTCTCAGGTTATCAGCGTACAATCTCACTCTGCTCTCGCCTCTCCTGCCCTTCCTGACACCACTTACTAAGTGGAAAAAAAGCTTGAACTGGGAGGGTGAATGGGTGACTGGTCTGTAGTACTGTGTCCTGTCACTGGATGGCAACAGCATCGCAGGCACGGCTGCCGGGGTGCGGGCTCCGAGGGCAGAGAGGGGCTGAGCACCCTCAGAAGGGGAACCCCCCCTGTTCCAGGTCCCCCCTCTTTGCCCAAGTGACCCCCGTACCCATCAGCTGTGGTCCGCACACCCCGAGCTGCGGGTGTGCACTGCGCTCTGCCCCACAGCAGCGGCGGGCATCACTGGTTTGTACTGGGCTGCTATGGGGGAAAGCGCGAGTGCTTTGTAGGGGCAGGAACGGGTGACAGCAGGGCTGGATTTGCTGGGCTCGAAGCAGACCAAGAAGAGTCGGGGGCGGCCCTCCCCAGAGGCTGACGGTCTTTGGAGGGCTGGTGGGCTCTCTGGAGAGCCGCAGCAGTATCTACCTCGAAGCCCCACTCGGTGGAGTTTGGGCAGGGGGCCCGGACACGGTACCACGGGCCACCTTGACTATATGCAGAAGGCTTTTGCTCTGGGACTGGCACTGCCGGGAGCCATTTCTTTTTGGTGGGTTTTTTTTTTTGTTTGGTTGGGTTTTTTTAAACAAAAAAGTACATCTCTGCTGCAGAAGTAAGAGCTCTAGATAAAACTACATTCTCAGAATAACCCCAAACTTTCCTTACAGAGCTCAATGAGCCACTTTATTCCTCAGGGATAAAGCCCTGAGCAACTACAACCAGTGTGAACTTTGTTTAACCACCAACCCAGTCAGGTACTGTAGCTCGTACGAAAGCGAGCCCGTCCGACGCGCTGACCAGCGGGCTCTCCCTGCCCCTACCTTCCTAACCACCACGGTGCTCCCGGGCACCACGGCCTGGGCTTGGGCTTCTGCCCCCGGTGAGCGAGGGAAACAGAGGTGGGGAGCCCTCAACTGGGAAATGAAGGCAGAGGGTGAGATGAAGGCTCTGCCGTGGCTGTTCGCACGGAGAGGATTGTCCACTGAATCATATGGGTTGGAAGGAAAATCTCACCCCCCTTCAAAGCAATGCTGTCCAAATCACGGCAGGGTTTGGGGGAGAGCTGCTGAGCGAACACGCCGTTCTTCTGGCGTCAGAGACCCGAGCTGGGGCTGCGTCCGAGGAAGGACCGGCTCTCTTTGATGCTCACAGCTTAGCTGGTACCAGTATGGGCTGCCCACCCCTGCGCTGGGTGGGGAGAGGAACCAAAGCCAGGCTTGTGCTGTTTCCCTTCTCCACCCGGCCCCAAGAGCAACAGATGGGGTGGGTTCAGCATCACAGTGCTCAGTGAAGGCTGAGGTGCACCTCAGGAGAAGCAAAGAGGGGCACAGGTTGTGCAGGTGACGGTGCCGGTCCTGGGGCTGGAGGAACCGTAGGTGGGAGAGAGCGAGGGCTGATCGCAGCCATGAGCTCTGCACCGTGGTGCCTTGTGCCCCTCCGCTGGCTCCCGACGTACCACGGGGTGCAGAGAGGAAAGAGGGGTTTCTTTCGGTGCGGATTTCTTTCTGCAAGAGGCTGTCCCAGGGCAGGCGTTGAGGGAATGTAGCACAGGGAGTTGTCTGGACAGAAAACTCGAAGTTCAGGCAGAAGCGTGCGTGTTGGGGCGGGCAGGCGGAGGAACTTCATTCAGAAGGTTACAGCGGGTGCGAGTCTGCAGGAGGAGTCTCCTTCCCTGAGCCCATTTGAGAGCACGTTTCACTGCCCCCCTCCCCCAGCTCTTTCCTTCTGGATGGAGGAATCTGCCTCAGCTATTGGTTTGCTTCTCAGAACCACCTCTCCCTTCCCGCCATTCCTCACACCGCGAGCCAAACCTGGGTGCCGCAGGGGCCAGCGCTCCCCAGAGCGACCAGTCTCTTCATGGCCAGGATTGGTGGCAACCTTCTGTGAAGCTCTGTGTGATGGGTTTTACAC